AAAAAAGCAAAACCCACACAAGCCAAGATTCTTTTCCTGCTCTCAGCTCACCTTTAAATGCCGGCGGCTCTGCACGCTGGTCTGGCCACTCAGCAGTGCTCCGCGAAAGAAGGCTCCCCAAATGAAAAGAAAATAGTTTGAATGCTTTTAGTATTTTCACTTTTCTTTGTCCCAACAATGCGGCTCTGTCCTCTGGGAATGAGCGTGTGCGGGCCAAACACGCTGCGTCATTCTCCCCTTTTCGTCCCTGCCCAGCACCGCTGACTCGCGGCCGCTGCCCCCGGGAGCCCGCAGCCCGCACTGACCCGCCGTCACCCCGGGGAAAGGCCCCCCGCCAGCAGATCCCCACGCGAAGCTGAACCTGCTTCCAGCAACGCCCGTGTTCGCAGGCGCGAGCCCAAGGCACAAAGTCAGCCGGGCACAGCACCACGGCGCGGCCGGGGAGGGAGAACCAGCGCCAGCGCTGCCAGCAACCCACGGGTGGGTGACGCTTCCTCTAGAGCGAGGCACGGGAACCGCCGTGGGGTGCTCTTAACGAGTCTTAATGTTTTCTTAATGAGCCACCTGATTTTAAAGTGTCAACCAAAATATTTCCAGTGAAACTAGGAAATGCTGGCAAAAAGTGCACTTTTGCCTCGAAGGACAGCGAGTTCCCTCGAGCTGCCTTACTGTCCTGATAAACCACAATCGTTACCTGCTGAGGAGGTTCCAGGCATTATTCAAAGTTGATCTTGGCCACATTTCATCTGCTCTTCACATTCCTTGCTGTCCTCTAAATCTGTACACGGCACCTTCTGACAAATTCTCTACAACCTGTGCTGTTTGGGACAAATTCCAGAATACTTTGTGGAGGACGACGAGGAGGAAGCCCGACCTCAAGTCTCCCCGGAAGAAATCACCATGACTGGAGCAGCTCTAACCATATGCCCAGAAGACACAGACTTCTGGTATCAGAAATCTTTTCTAATCACTAAACCACTCAAACTGCAGGTTCTTTGCGTTCACAGGGAATCTTCCAACACAAAATCTTTACCCCCACGGCAAGACCAGGTCAAGCACTTAAAAGACAAACAGCACCTCAGCAGTGCAAGCAGTTTTCCTTATCTTAATACTGAGCCCAAGCTGGGCCACAAACATTGCTTACAAGAGAGCAAGAGCATAGGAAACCGCTCTACCCCAGCCTCCTTAGCGGGCGGGCAGCAGGCGCTCGAGTTCACCCCTCTGGCATCGCAACAGGCAGCAGGCGCAGACCGATTTTTAAAAAGCAAACTCCAGCAGCAGCAGTGAACAAAAATGCCGATCCTGGGCATTCACTGGTGAGCCAGGGCTCTGCCTAGCAAACCAGTGGCATCCACAACCCTGATCTGAGAAGGGAGAAAGCCCCAGGACGTACGGTTTCGGAGGCAGGCAGCGAGCCCTCCATGCTGGCGCGCAGCGAAGGAAGCACGCAGTCCGACCCCAGCGCCCCTCTGCCCGCCGAACATGCTGCGCCGCAGTTTCGTTAGCGGAGACCAGCCCCAGCCCCGCCAGGCTGGATTCTGCCCTGACAAAGCAGGACCTTGTAATACGAAGCAGCAGGACCCCGGGTGCGTTGGCAGGAGCCCCGACTGCGTGTTTGAGAAAGCAACTGCAGCTCTGAGCAAGTGAGGCATGAATGCAGTGCAGGAGAGTTACCAAGTCTGCTAAAAATACTTCACGGCTGACCCTGTCAGGAACACATCTGAAGTGAGAGCCTTGTTTTCTGGAGAGTAATTCAACCAAAAAAGCAAAATACATCTGCTGGCAATGGTCTTGGAATTTTATTTTAAAAAACAAGCCAAGCAAAAACCACAACATAGTCTCGAACAGAAAAAGACCCCACGTTTCCTTCCATCAGGAAGGCTGCTGGAGTGCATGACAGGCTTTGCTCCTCTTCTGGAGCTCCGGACAAGGGGTAACCTCACCATCTCCTCCTCCATAACTTGCCGCAGGAGGACGTGCAGGCTCCTGTTACAAGGAGCTAACGGCAGACAAGTTCAAAACCTGCCCTGCTGAAGCCCGCGCGGAAGCCTTGTGCGTCGCACAGTCGCAGGCGAGACAAGCGGAACGCCCGTCCCCTGGCCGGTGCCCCCCGAGCGGCTTTCGGGTGCCCGGTTACAGGTAGGATGCCCAGAGAAAAGCAGAAGGAGCCACCGGACTGGACACGTGGCTAAGAGAGACGATGCACCCGTCCTGTCCCTCCCGGTGGGACAGGAGCGAGGTTCTTCTGGGAAGCAGGCAGGGAACCTTCTCCTGCACAAGGCGGGCGGGCAGGATGGATCCCGAGCAAGTCTGTAAGCACAGCTAGCAAACCTGGGGGGGTTGGGACGCTGTCGGGTGGTGAGACAGCTTGTTCTGCTGGGGAAGAAGTGAAGGAGGTTCCTTCATAGCTCACTGCTCTGCAGTCAAGACTGTGTTCCCCATCCATCCCTAACACATCTAGCCTTAAAAAGGAAGATATTTGTAAGAGATGTTAGTTTATTCACCAGGCATGTTTTCAGGTGGATTATGTTCTGATTGATTGCTGATCCACCTGGCTGTCTGCACCGTATTCGTTCAAGGAGGCAGAGGAGGATGCCGAGGCTGAGGCAGCACACCGTGTATCTCCCTCACCGTTTTTCGAGTCACAAACGCGGATAATGCACAGCAGCATGTTCTCTGGATTTGCAGTATCTACTCAGTAGCAGACCGACAAGTTTACGACGCTCCTGTTTCAGGGGCAGTCTGCTCTGCTATGAGCCAGCCTAAGGGTGCCCCCCGGATGCAGCCTCCAACGCCAATCCGCAAAACATTGCCCTGGCTCTACCTGATTTCTGCTTTTGCGTAGCAGCCCCGCTCAACAGCGACACAAGCAAAGGCCTCGTTTAAAGACAGGAAAATGAAAAAGGTGCAAGAACTGCAGAAATAATTTTAAAAATGGACAACAACAAAAGATGGGTTTCAAAACGACAAGTCTTGTGCTCCTCCCCCTGCTTCCCTCAAGGTCTGAACACAAGCTTGGTTTTCTGACCGACCTGCTACCTCCCTTGGGTTTGGGAAATAAACGCATTTCAAGCCTAGCCAGTAAGCACCCCGGGTTCTTACAGCAGCCCCTGCCAACCGAGCAGTAGCTACGATCGGCTTTTAAAAGGAATCTTGTCCCATCATCTTGCTCAGCAAGCGTACAGGTATTTTTAGGACTGGCATGCTCTAAATCCATACTGAGAACGTGAACCTTTGCAGAAGCCACCGCAGTGGAGGAATTGTTGATAATCCAACCGTGCGCCAGATTCATCTTGTTATTCCTTTCCCTCAAACTGGGTTAAGCTTTCACACTGCTGAATATTTGGACAGCAAGTCCTTTCTTGTGCCCATCTCTTTTTTCTTTTTTTAATTAAAATTAGAAAATTTCAGATGTCTCTGTGTGGGTCAACTTAAAGCATGTTGTAAAAAAAATTGTAACATTTAATTCAGGAAGCTTGGGTGTAACTCAGGTTGGTACGTTCCTAGGGTCATAGTGCATCCATCCCAATACACATGGATTCATTCTTACTCTCCATTTACCAGGCAGGCTCTGCCTAACGTTTAGTATTGCCGACTACTCAGATGGATGATACGGTCCCACCTGGGCAGTGACGGATGCACGCTCCCTCCCGGCAGCACCTGCCTGTGCCGTCCCCAGCCCCGTAACACCATCTCGCCCTCAGCTGCCTCCGCAGTCGCTCGCTGACCTTCCGGTAAATCACCCCGGTTAACTGAACAGTCACTGCAGAGCATTTTCATTAACCCAGCTTATCTGGACTGACGCTTTGCAATTAAGCGAGGGCAGCTGAAGTTACACAGCAAATTCCACCATAAAGCACCCTCTCCGTTTCGCAGCCGCACAGCCTTCGGCATCCACCTCAGGAGCGGGAGCCCTGTGCAAAGGGAGCAGCGATGCACGGACGGAGCGCTGGCGAGCGGGGCTCCCAGCCCTGCCTTCTCGCTGTGCCATCGCCAGCTGCCCAGCAACTCTCCCCACTCAAAAACCTGGCCTCGAAGGAGACAACTAAACTCGTCTCAAAGTACCCAGTTGTTTGCTGCTTCCCGACTGGACTTTTTCCACTCATTTTTAAAGAAAACCATCATCGATTAGCTGAAGACAGCTCAGCTCTTCTGTAAGCCAACAAGGAGCGTACACGGACGATCACACGCCAACCTCACCCAGGAGACAGGCAAAAGCAGCGCCCTCTCGGAAGTAACTCTGCTGAATTACTGCAGAAGAGTGCCTCCAGTTGTTAAAAATAGAACTCATTTCTGCATCAGCAGATGGAGTTTCAGTCCAAATATCCACCGAGCCACTTGAATAATTAAGTATTGCTTCTCCATGGCATAACAAGGTATCTAACGCAACTTACTGCCCTTTCTAAAAAATGTGATATAAATACTGTTTGCTAATTTTTCAGCAATGAAATTAATAGAAATAACGTTTATAGTAGTGCGCAGCAAGCCTCTAGCTGAGCTGCTGCCACGGTGTCAGCACCGTTCTCCACACAAAGCTGCTCCATCTTTCGGGTAATCAGCCCTGGGACAGGGCCGCCATTAATCCAGAAATGGGGTTTACTCGGAAGCAAGCGGAGGACACTCTGGCCTGGCTACGGCTGTAACCTGAAACGCGTGCCACAGACAGACGGACAGCAGCTGATGCAGGGAGATTTTTTGTAAAAGTATACCTAGAGTTGTAAGAGCGCTACGTGTAAAATGCCGTCCTCGCGGTTACAGACCCTGCGTGCTGCACAAACTGCCTGTACTTCACAGAACCAAGGGGAGTTTTTCGTTTCAAATCTTCTGAGCATTCCACCTCTATTTAGAGAAACTCCAGGAAACGGCCTTTTTCACACGCTAACCGGAACGTGCCCCCGAAGGGGCGAGCGGCGATCTGCTCGTACCGCGGGCCCCGGGCGCGGGCCCCCCTACACGCAGTCACGCAGGAGTTGCCCCCGCGCCCCCGCTCTCTCAGTTACCATCTGCAGTCTAGGAGGGCACAAAGGGCTCTGCATCTTCCTTACAACCCATGTTATCACCAAAATGCTGTTCCTCAAAGTCTCAGTCCAGCGGGATTCCTGGGTCACAGCATTAATCAACTGCGATTTTCCAAGAAAGTTTGAGTCCTGAAAGGAGAGCAAATATCGGAGATTTGTCTGTGCTGAACCCGTTCACTGTGAAGTTGTGATGCAGGCACTTTAAACATTAATAAAACCCCACCAAACAAACAAAACCCCCATCCCAAAACAAACACCCATGTTTTTTACTGCAAGGGTGAGCAGCCACTGCAGTAGGTCGCCCAGACTCCATCCCTGGAGTCCGTCAAAACCCAGGCCATGGTCCTGGGCAACCTGCTTCAGCTGCTCTGGCCTCGGGCACGAGGGCTGGACTAGCCCATCTCCAGAAGTCCCTTCCAACTTCAGTGATTCTGTGATTCTCCAACTTTTGGGATGCATTTTAAATTCTTCAGTATACCTAATTTTGGATCTACTGCCAAATGAATCCAGCCAGCAGATCATCGTTTATCAGTAATTAATTATACTGTCCTCACAGCATTTGTGTCTATAGAGCATGACCAGCTGTGAAGGAAGTGAAGTCTCATGACACTGAAGCTCTGCTGCGAGCAGCCATCAGGCGAGCAGACGGCACCAACCAGCTCCTCGCAGAGCCTGCTCACGCCATTCAACTTCGGTGGTAAAGACAGTGATCGCCTCGTCTGTGCTGATACCTTCATCTGGAGGAGGCAGTAAATGACTCTCAGGTGGTAAATGCCAGCGCAATAGCTAAATGCTGCCTTCACATCATTCCACCGCAGAGAAGCTGCTGCTCCGGCCATACGTGGGGACGTGGCAGCCTGGGGAGGCCACGGGCACAGGATCAGATCCCTGCACTGACCGGTGAGACGGAGCCATCCAAACTTACAAAGTCTTCAGCATACACAGGATAAATTTATGCCCTTCAACAAATCTTGATACTCTAAACACTTCTCTCTAGACTTTGAAGTTAAATAATGTCAAATTTCCCTTTGCCTTGCTAAAACCATTAATTATATAAAGTTAAAAACAAAAATACAAAGGTCACACATTCCAGATGGTTGGATCACCAAAACCATCTTGAAACAAACACTGCCAATGAAACCTGATCGTGAGAGGCCAGGGCACGAGCAGGCAAGAAGAGGAGGATCCTTGAGAAGTGTCCAAGAGTATTAAAAATTCTCCCTTAGATGAACAGTGACATGAATTCAGGGATGACATCCAGAAGCTACAGAACAGCCTGAACAACCAGGTTTAATGCACCCGTAGTCAGCAAAACGCAAGCAGCTAAACAAAGCACAGGCACTGTAAAGCTGCACGAGTTTCACCATTGTACGCCGGGCTGGTCAGAGCTTCTTGGATTCTACACCTGGACTGTATGCGAGTGGACGAGCTGCCGCTTCGGTCTCTTTTCTCCCCAGGCTCACTAACCAGTCTTGAGTTCTCCATCCGACACCGGCAATTCAAGCAGCCAGGGCCCATGGGGACGAGCCTTCAGCCATGGGGCTGCCCTACCCCAGCAGGCACAGCCAGGCTCCCCTGCCCTGCTGGGGTGCGCCACCCCTTTGGCGACCCAGCCCCGCACCCCTTTGCGGGCCTGCCAGCGAGACCCTGACCCCAGCCCCACCGGCAGCGACACGGCAGCGCCAATTCTACAAGCAGCTCAGCGAACGATACGGACGTGGGCAATCCATGTCAGCGGAGAAAGACTTACATCTGGTCTGCCTGCAGTAACTAAATGCAAGAGCTGTTTCAGTTAGAAGCACTGAGAGCAGCGCTAAAATTTATCCCTTCCATTACCCTATTTTCCCCCATATATACATTTAACCCAGCTTACATAGAAGGCTAAAAAAAACCAGTCCAGCCCATGCCAGCCAGCAACTCAACCACCAACCTGAGCAACAGCAACGCCCAGGAGAATGAGAGTACACCTAACCCCAACTCAACCACCAACCTGAGCAACAGCAACGCCAGGAGAATGGAGAACTACGATGGAAACAACACGACAGAGTAAGGAATAAATCACTTCAAAGCTGCATTTTCATACCCAGCTTCACACTCCAAAATGAGCGCAATCATTTCACTTGCATGAAGCCCTCTCACCAAGGCAAATCTGTGTGGGCTTCCACCTCCCCTCGAGGCAACGACAGTGTGCAGGGCAGGGGCAACCAAGCCGACGCTGCCAGGCAGAGGGCGCACAGCACCATCCACCAAAGCACCTGCAAATATGAGCCGCTTTGGCAACGGAAGGCCAGGTGAGGAATCTTCCCAAGCCACGCAACAGAGTTCTGAGCCCTTCCCTAAACACCACCAGTACCAGGCTAAGTCTGCTCTGCCGAGACCAGTGCAGCAGAACCACCTAAAGCTCTTCCCCTCAGTTCGCTAACGAGTCTCATCTTGAGCTTTCGAATTTTAAAACACCTCTCTCTAAACATCTCAGATCAGCTTTATTACCGACAACTGATAGACCTGAGGGTTTGGGTTGGGTGCTTTCCCCCCTTCGTTTAGCTGGAAGATGAAATAGCTGTGCAAATGGCACAAGGCTCTGTTAAGCAACACCTGGAATAGGAAACCAAACAGCACCAGAATAGAAACCACAGCTCAAAGTACTGCTATGGCAGAGAGGAGGCAGGGAGGGTGCTTGGGCTGAAGAAGATGAAGAGGAGGAAGTAACTGCACGGCTCCGAACCACATTGGGAGGCATCTGCCTGGTTACCCACTCCTCTGGAAGGCAGCTGAGCCCAACAGCTACGGAGACAAACACCGGAATGGGGAGAGAAGGGAAGGAGACCGCATGCCAAAGACACGGAAGCATGCAATTGTGGCGGATAATTAAGAATTCTTATTTAGTCTCTCTCCCCTACTCATCCAGCATTTTTTAGTAATTGAGGCGCGAGGGAGGGAGTATTTCCAGCTCGGCTGACGAGGGAATTACGCTGCAATCAGCAGAGGGCCTACAGGGCAGGAGGACTGCAGAAGGGCTGCCCAGGGAAGGGGTCGAGTCCCCAGCCCTGGGGGGATTTAACAGCCGGGCAGAGGCGGTGCTGAGGGCCAGGGTTTGGGGGTGGGATGGCAGGGGTAGGGGAATGGTTGGGCTGGGGGAGCTTAAAGGGCTTTGCCAACCTGAACGATTCTGTGGTTCTATTCTATGACCGTGGCAGCAGTAACAGGACCTGTTCCAAGGAAGGGCTGCAGACAGCTCCTTCACCAAGCGTAAATCGTGTTCTTTGGGCGCAAATTCATGCAGACTGAGGTGGCTTCTCAAGACAGCGAAGAGAACCAAACACCACAGATAATTATTGTAGCAGGAACCGGCAGCAGCAGGGTTACTGGAGAAGGGCAATGCCAGGGGAGAGTCTGCAAATGGCTGTGCTCTGGTTTTCACACTCATACTATTCCAGCCATTTGAACTCATGATTTTTACCTACCCAAGGTACATTTATTTTGCCAGAAAAGAAGATTCGGAAAGGATACCACTGCAGAGTTTAACAAGTGGCATAAACATCGGCCTCATTCCAGCAACTCTCCGGCGACACCTGCAGCAAGGTCCCCTTCCTGCATCTCCGAGAGCAGTCCCAGGTTCCGTATTTCCTGAGGAAATGGGATGATCTGTATGCCCATAACCTAGGTTCAGTGCTTCAGGTACGCAAAGCCGATCTCCTATACAATCACGTAGTATCACTTAGCCGTTTTGGGGAGCCACCACTTGTACTCTTGCTGGGTTTGGACAGTCTGACACTGAAGTACTCAAAGAGGAGACCGTATTTTTGCATACACATCAGTGACGTGCAGTACATACTACATTTGATTAATATTAAGCAAGATAATATGAAACACAGCACAGTCCTGAACTGTAAATATCTAAAAGAACACTTATACAAGGATACTCTCTGAATCCTCACAGTTCTGCCTCTATCAATACAGACGGACAATAAAACCACCGGTACAGACTGACAATGAAACACTACAGTTGATTTACTGACCCTCATAGCTCACCACTAGAAATTTTTCCCCGTGAAGACCTTCACAGTGAATGAAGACCTTCTCGTGGTGTTTTACATAACAAAACTCGGGGAGAATATGTAGAAATTAAGTAGTTAACAAAGAACTAGAAGAGATCCACAAATCTCAATGGCTTTAAGAAAAGCTGCAAAGAAGAACGAGGATTCCTCCAGACCAGACCTATAACCATACTCTTTATGTAGGAAGGATTTCTTTTTAAAGCAGATGTTTATGTTATGTTCAGTGTGGAAAACAGCTTAATGATAGCTGATGATTTCTGGAACCAAAGGCCTGCAGCAACTAGCTTTCTATTTTTGCCAGCCGACCACGCAACAGGCATTTGTTTTGAAAAACCTGTAACATCGAAGCTGCAAAGCTCCAGGGGTGCCCGAGTCCCTCCCGCGTCCTGCCAGCCTTCAGCATTTGCCCTGGCAAGAGAACGCGTTCTCAGGGACCCTTTGCCGAGCCATGAATACACGGGAGATGCAGTCACGTTACCTGAACTGCGGCCCAACTGCAGCGGTCAACGAGAGCCCCCTGCCCGGCCTTTTTAGACCAAATTATTTCAAGTCTGAAAAGGCACTATGATTTCTTTGCACAGTCTTTAGCTTTTTCGCTCACTGCTGGCAGGAAAAGCAGTATTTCCTTCTTCATCTCTACTCTTAGCACAAGCCAAGAAGCTCCAAAGCCTCTTATGTACATATGATACAAGTCACTGAATATTAATAAGGGATCGACATTTTGATAGTAACTGCAAACTAATTTAAATAAACAATTTATTTAGAGATTCCTGTAAGGTCTGTTTGGCTGATGACACACACCAAGGACGTAACCCGCTGTGCCTCCAGCAACGCCCTGCAAGCGAGAAACGCCGCAGGCAGCAGCGCAGCGCGCTTCCATTGCCTCAGGCCGCCAAAGCAGCCACCACTGCTAACTTTTTTTAAGGTGGCGTTTCAGATCTGACAGCAAACTGCCACTGAAAGGGGTGCTCCTGGTCCCTTCCTCCATGCACCCCATCTTCCACACGTCCCCGCCGGTCCCCCCCCCTGCCAGATGCTCATGGCATGGCGAGCTGGCTCCGGCGGCTGAGC